ACTCAGAAAAGCTGTTTCTAGCGTTTTTTTTTCAGTTTTTTAATTTTTTGTTTCGAATTTATTAATGTCAAAATGGTGTCACACGGTTGCGTTTTCTAAACTAAACTTAGGCGGTGGGACTTCACCCCAGAGCCCAGGCAGACTGGTTCATCCAAAATGAGGCCGCTTTCCAGTTTCTTTTCTTTTTCTTTTTTTTCCCTTCTTTTCGGCCTTCTGTTTTTTTTTTTTTTTTTTTTTTTTTTTAAATAAAAAAGGTAATACCTTTATTACTCATGAAAAGTCATTGAGGCCGGGTCCTCACATTATCCCGGAAGCCGCACAAAAGAACAAATTTCGAAAGAAAAGGGAAAAGAAAGTAAACTCAGAACGAAACAAAGGAAAACCAAATAATAGTCTCTGTCCTCATGGAGCAGTCTGAGAGAGAAAACATCTATACTTATACTTAACAGGATCAGGGAACGGACATAGAGGGGAGGGAGAAAAGAGGAAGGCAGAAGCGAAACTAACTAACCAATTATGTGGTAGCCTAAGCTAACTAGTCCTAGCTAGAGTCCTTCTCAGAACAGGAGGCGATCAAAGGCATAATGCTGCCTCTGCAAAAACCTCCCCAAAGACACACTCCGCCCCCAGCCCCAGTCCAGTCCTCCTTTCTGCAGTCCTACTGCGGACGAAAAGCAACCGAGTGTTCAGGTTGTAAACCCATGCAAGAGCCATGGCGCCAGTGAAAGTTTCCCCTGGTCTGTGGCTGCAGCTAATTTATTCTTCAAACCCATCCCCCAAGTCTTCCGAAACCAGCGATATCTTTTCCTACCGGGCTTTTTCTTCTGCACTCTCCGGGCCCAGTCCACCAAAATGACGGTACGTAGCTGGTGTCTGATTTCCACCTGCGTCTGTTGCGGCACTGTTACTTCCTTCTTGAATACTTTGGCATTCCTTCCCTGCCATAATGCCCAGAGAAGTATGGACCTTGCCACCTGAGCTACATAGGCCTTCTGTTTTCACCTGCAGTTGCTTGGAAACCACTGGTGCTTTTATTTTAACCCGGGTGATGCAGACACAAGAGCATTCATGTTGAAACCAACAAAGCCAACGCATTGCAGATATGGGAAGAGGAATGAATATATATGGTGCCTGGGAACTAATAATGACTGTCGGCGGTTTCTCAGAAGCCACTGGTCGTGTGGAAGCTAGAGGCTTAAAAAAAAAAAAAAAAGCAAGAGGCTTCCCGGCGTGTGGTAAGACCGGTGACCAGACTGACTTCCTCACGAATCCTGAGTCTTTTTTTTTTTTTTTTTTTTTTTTGACTGACAGACTGGGACCATCCACCAGATTCTGTTTAGAAGAACCTAACCCAGTCACTCATCTTCGCAGAAATTCACCAACTGAAATTCAGCAACTGGCAAGTAGGCCACACAAGAAACAAGAAGGGTCATCCCTGGCGCTTGGTCACTCATACACAAAGTAAGCGATATTGACCGTAGATAGCAAAGATCAACGGCCAGAAACTCTTAATCTGTGCAAGTGGGACCTTGCCCCTGGTTTTTGAAGGCATGGGCTAAAGATAATCGTCTAGTCACAGTAACACAGGATAGGAATTTAGAATTTAGTAATTTACCCGGGGGATCAAACCACCTCCTTGAATAATGTTCGTTCCCAGGCTCACATTGTTGCAGCCCGGCCCCGCTTTAGGTGCACCTGGAGGGAGATCCCACTAGCCAGGTATGTGGATTAGTGTGACGGGTGGGGGACGGGAGGGGGACGGGTGGGTGGCAGCGTGAAATAGGGAAAATCAACGTTAAAAAACAAGGGCAAGAGTAACTCCATACACCATTTGCTGTAGGTGAGGGGATCGAACCCTCCCAAACACCTTCCCAAAAACAAGGGGGCACATGCATGTCAAAGGAAGAGGACAACAGCATTGCCCATGTGAAACATTTGCGGGGACTACAGACAACTTGGACGAGGGTCTGACACGGACTGACATTCCCTCATGATGGGAAACACCGAAAAATTTTGTTTTCTGCCTCTCTTCCACGCATGGGCCACGACCCAAAGGTGAGTGAAAGGTGAGTGAAAAGCAACACAAAAAAAATGGGTCT